TCTAATAGAACCTTTACTTATGACAAATCAAGTTTTTAAAGATTGGTTTGTCATAATTATAATGTTCGCATGCGCCCGTTTTCCGATCTAGTTGGTTTTCTTTATGATTGTCTCAAAACATGCGCGCGAATGTAAGAGAGAGAGAGAGAGAGAGAGAGAGAGAGAGAGAGAGAGAGAGAGAGAGAGAGCAAAAAAACTATATATCAGACGAACCCAACAGGGTAAGTGGTTACAGTCGAGTTATTTGTTTTAGTGTCATTGTTAATCTATGCCAACGTTTGTACGCAAATATGTTATGCGGTGATCATATAATGAGTACACTTTTGAAGACGGGTTTGCAATCGGCAATAAAACTATGCGTGTTTCAATATGACTTACAACCAACATTTTCAATAAGAGTTTTGAGAAGGTCTTAACACCATATACAATAACGACTCAACTGCAATTCTCAATCCCAGACTATAAATTTATGCTTATGAGGTGGATCAAGACAAAGAGGACATAGGGTAAGAGAAAATATATATTGCAATAATCATAAAAAAATACAAAAATAAAGAAAGTGAATATATAAAGGTACAATCAACATTTACCACGATTCATCTCCCACATTTTTGTTTGTGTATAAGAATTAACAAAAATCTTTTATAATATTTGTCATCATGATGAGTTAATGATTACGACTTCTAGTCCGTTCTACATATCAAATATTTGTTTTTATATGCATCAAGGGATATGAAATATGAAAGGTTTGACAATAAACATTTATTATTCTGCAACGTGCATATAATATTTACGCTAATTTCATCAGTGTAGTTAGTGAGACCGATTATTTTTGCATTCAACGTTTTATTTTTGTTTCTTTAACACCAATTTTTTTATTTTTATTTTTTTTGTACGTCATATCAAATGGAGGATAAAGATACGACTTTGTTTATGAGATATCTCATTTTTTTTTTTTTTTGTTATCAAATTATTGCATAGATTAATTTAGGAACCCTAACAAGTCAATAATTTAATAACATATATCGACATTTATCTTAAATTACAACAACCAGAGTAGTCAGCGTTCAGATCCGATGGAATTGCCGACCTCGAACAGACCTACTGTGAAAACGGATCATTGGATAACTATTATTTTCTATTTTGTTATCGAATTGTTGCATAAATTAATTTACGAATCGTAACAAGTCAATAATTTAATAAAACATATGAACATTTATCTTAAATTACTATGACAAGCGAAATCAAGGTTCGGATCCGGCTCAATTTCCGAACCCGAACATCCGAACGTTTGCCCCTTTCAGAGACACATTCGGTTGAATCTGAACGGAAAAAATATATATATTATGTTATGCTCAATATCATATATATTTTTTTTACTTTGTTTAAATAAACAATAAAATAAAAAATAATAATAATAATAATAATAATAATTATTATTATTATTATTATTATTATTATTATTATTTTTAAGCTCAATCGGGCAAAAAGTCTCTCGTCACTCTAGTAACTTAGAAAAAAAAATCCCTATTTTTTATCATAAACTACTTAATTGATTGATTATTTAATTGAAAAAGAAAACTTTGCTAGTTGATATGTGCTAAACTTTTTTTTTTCCTTTTTTTTTTCTCTCTTTCACACACACACACACACACACA